AGAAGGGATTCATGCCTGTCCTGTACATCTAGCTAGCCACTGGTGGCTGGAGAGGTCATAGACCCTAGAGGAGAAATTACTACTGCCATTTTCTCAAACCTTTTCTAAATGTATTCTAAATAGTCATGTTTATACTCATGGTAAGTGTAGCACTCAGTCCTTATCAAAGAAGCTTCTTTTTGCAGCAGATGGAAACTATTAAAGAGATCCACAACTGGTCATATTGCAGAAAATAAGTGACTCTGAGGTGCCCAGCTCAATTGGTATATCTACAACACAATTCCTGCCGAAGGCTCAGGAAATATTATGGAAGAGGGGCAGAAAAATTCTAAGAGCCAGAGGATCAAGGATGCCTAGAAGTTAGTGTCTTCTAGACACGATACGGAAGCTGCACCCATGAAATCTCAATATGTTGCTCAGACAAGATCTGCATATTGAGAATACCAGAGGACATGCCATCATGAATGGAGAAAATGTCACAAGGCTTCACTCCTAGATGAAGAGCTACAGGCAATCAATGGCTGCAGAGAGGGGGAGAATCAATTTTCTCCAGGGACAAGCCCCTGATAAGTTATCCAGTCTTAAGTGGTCAGCCCGTAACACACATGTAAATATAAGCAACACTAACATATATCTTTATATATAACTCAATCAATCAATCAATCAATCAATCAATCAATCAATCAATCTATCTAGCCTCTATCATCTATCTATCTATAATGAAGAGGTCATGAATTTGAGAGGGAGTGGAGGAGACATGGGAAAAATTAGAGGGGGGAGACAGATGGGTGGAAATGATGCAAATACCATACTCATGTATGAAATTCTCAAAAAATAAAACTTTAAATTAAAAAATAACTATAAATGTGTTGATGATGGAAAGGTTTCAAGGAAAAGGGCTAAGCTTTCCTCCAGTGGATGAAGATGCCAAGGATGTTTCCTTTGACAAGATTCATAATAATGATATGAACTGAACTTTGGTGAGGGGGTGGAGATTGCTACTTACTTTTGTGTAAATTCAATCTAGCAAGAGTTGCCAGAGGAGTGTGAAGATGAAGATATATGAGAGACTAAGCTATCAGCATAGCTAGATACAGTGAGGCTATAAGTTACTCTAAAGTTTGGGAGGGGTGTTGAGAACATAAAATGATCTGTTGATGCCGACATACAATAAACATTTTTTGGCTTTCTTGCTTTGTTACATGGATAGTTCCATCTTTTTTTCCCCTACTGTTTGTTATTTTAGAGATTTTTCTTGACTCTTCATAAGATGCAGAGAATTTCTCTCATATTTTGCCTTTAAAAGAGCCAACTATGGTGCTAGAGAGGTGACTCTGTGGTTAAGAGCATTAGCTACTATTGCAGAGGACTCAGCTTCAGTTCCTAGCACCCATATGGTGGCTCACAACCATCCAGAACTCCTTTTTCAGGGGGATTTGATGTCCTCTTCTGGCTTCTAAGGGCACTAAACATGTGTGTGGTACACATACTTACAGGTAGACAAAGCACTCATACACACACAAAAAAAATCCTAATCCTCAAAAAAAGGAACAACCACTATTCCAGACAATATCTGGCTCTAAGCAGATGGGCTAAAATAGTTACAGAATATGCAAATGCCCCAAATAGTTCTTTACTAGCTTTAAAACTCACACCCTAATAAAACACTTTATAAATAAACACCCCCCAGATTTAAATGCAATTAACTTGTAATTTGTATACATCAATGGAAAGGAATCTGAAACATTAATAATTTAAAACAGCTAATTCAAAATAACATATTTAGCTTTGGAAAGTTTTATAATTTTATCTTATTTTCTTAATTATGTTTCTCCTAAGCTGAGAATAAAATTAATTTTCTATTCTTGAATATAAATGAACTGATCATGGAAAGGGATAGCCCAGCATTTTGATGCATTGAGAAGTTTGTCTAGCGCTAAAATGTGAACTTGGATAATCTGAATTTAAATATTTAGAAGTTGACTCTATTTTCATGTCATCTTTTTGAGCCAAGATGATTATCACAACTACAGGCTAGTCTGTTACTGGGTTCCTTGCCCCAGTCCTCATCCTCTCCATGCCTTTTTTTTAGTAAATTAGGCCAGTTACCATTCCCCCGGAGCATTAAAGACAGTCCTATCCAAATGCTACTATTACTAATACGGGGTATGGGTGGTAGTGGTGATGATGCTGGGGTGGTGTGGTGGGATGATCATTGGGATAAATGTTCGGGAGGTGGCTGTAGTGTTCCCAAGAAATAGCTTTAAAAGACACCATGATGGCTTTAAATGTCAGTCTTGAGATGAAAGACAGACTTCCTTATGCTGTAAAAAAGACTATCAGGAAAATATTAGAAGACCTTGGTTCTAGTTCCACCCATTGGAACTGGTCATCTCTGTTTCTCTTAAGATGACAATAAAATTATTATTGAGGAGACATCCATCTCTGATGTGCCTCACAAGTTTTTTGAGACTCAGTGCCCTTTTTTGTGAAGACGGGTTTATAATGAACTTTCCTATCCCCTGGGGTTACAGAAAAAATCAAATCCAATAGCATATGTGAAAACGCTGAAATTTATAAAGCATTGTACAATGTCTGTGATGTCTGTTGCTTTTGCATGCAGAATACCTAAGGGATTTAAAGAAATCCTACTGTGTTTATAAGATAGATTATGATAGAAGACCATGACAAAATTTACCCCGACTAGTAAAAAGCATTGAACACATGCTGGTGATGGTGTCCCTGGTTCCTGTGAGAGAATACAGCTGAGAGCCTCCAGGTCCAGCACAGGGACTTCTAGTTCTTGTGATAGGCTTCCTTGAGTCCACTATCGACCAGCTGAGCCCTGTGTCCCATGAACTCATTGTCCAGCCTCTCCCTTCCACAGCCACAAGGCTTTTTTATTACAAGGACTCCTTCACCAAATTGCCAGCAGCCTGTCCTGAACAGTCAGGAGACTGTTCTTTCTCTGCTGATTTATGACACCACAGATGAAGTCCGGGTACAACTGCAATTTATCTGGGGGCAGGGATCAGATCATATGACATGGTTTTTGTTTAACTTTCATCCCAGTGCCTTAACACAGTGTAGGCGCTTAGTTAATATTTGCTGAATTGATGTAATAAGTATATCCAGTGACTTGCTTTTTCAGGACTTTTAAATCCAAATTATTAGGTTATCTATTTAACTGAAAAACAAATATTATATGTCTACATTTATTATGGGGGCTGAAGAGGGCTCAGTGGTTGAGTATTGGCTGCTCTTCCATAGGATCTGGGTTTGATTCCCAGCACCCATGTGTCAGTTAACAACTGTTCATAACTCTAGTTCTAGGGGATCCAATGGCTTCTTCTGGCCTCCATGGGCTTTGCACAACATGGGTGCACTTACATACATGTGGGTAAAGACACTTCTACACATAGAAAAAAAATAAATGAAAAAAGTTTTAAATTTGGGACTATGACAAGACAGAGTGATTGATATATACAGTAATATATACTGTTTCACATCTTTGCTTTTCTGCTTATATTGTTTATATGCCCTGTTTAGCATAGGGCTAGATTATGTGCAAAAGAAGGTAAAGAATTGGATGGAAAAAGAGAAACCTAGTGTTTTCTGTGAAGGGCAAAAAATGAGAATAAGCTTGTGATGACACCATAGCTGAAACTTCAAACTTTTGTTACTAAAATGAGAAATAAATAAATAGTAGTGAACAAAGTTAAGGCATTGCTGACTCATAATAAAAATGTATCTTTTCATGATGTTCTTGTTTAAAACGATTGGCATTTTTAATGTTTCCTTTCTTACTTGAAATTATAAACATTCCTCTCATTTTCATAAGTGTATGTATAATTCTACTTTCTATTTTTATCTGTCCCTGTATCTTCCAGTCCTTGTTCAAATGTATGTCTAGAAACATGTTTCGTGCATTTTCCTTCCTTCTGAGCATACTATTATTTCTGAGTTGTTCTGGCAAGGCTGGGGTCCAACAATTTTTAAATGCTTCCAGGAATTGCAACCTATGCTGCTCAGAAATTGATTATATGGCCAAACAGTTCCTAGGCAGGTATTTCCCCACATTTAGAAGGTTCAGTGAGACTGTGGGAGCAGAAACGACTTTGGGCTGTAAAACAGAAAAGAAACCAAATGGGAAAGGAAGGAAGGAAGGAAGGAAAGTAACGTAGCTCAAAAATTAATAAGAGAATTTCAAATGTTATGGTCTCTCTCTCTCTTAACCCAAACTAACAAGAAACAAAAGGTGAAAATCCAACTAACAGCTGCCGCGTTCAGAGCACTAGAAGATGAGAGTTCTGGTGGTGTAGGCCTGTAATTCCAGCACTTGGGAGATGGAGACAGGAAGATCAGGAGTTCGGGGGCACCCTTGACTACATAAGGAGTTTGAGTCACTGTGGCTACCTGAGACCCCGTCTCAAAAAAAAAAAAAAAGTTTTCATAAAAATTTCAACACAGGTAAGAGAAGACTGCAGGCTCTTGGACAGGAATGGAGAGAGAGGAGCACGGTTCAGTTCCTGTGTTCAAGTAAGAATGGTAAAGGGTATCCAGGAAAAAACACAAAACGAGCTATATAGGGCAAACCCTTCTGATAGCTAGTTTTGACAATCCAATTCTTTGAGATTATTTGGGTTCCAGAAGAAAGGAAAGCGAATTAGCCAAATAGAATAAGGACTGTCTAAGACTAGCAGGATCCGAGGGTGGTCGTGGAGAAGCTGCGCTTTAGCTCTGGGGTTTCAAGGTTTCAAGTCCCTCTCACTGCTCACCTGTCCTTGCAGAAGTCCCCACAGGTGACCCGGCTGTTCCAGCGGCGCAACGTGCAGTTCTGTGTGTGGCCGCCAGGAGTCGCGCGAGAGGTGCGGTTGTCCTGGAGACCGCGCGGCGATTGGGCGGACCGGCTGAGCGGAGCCGCTGCGGGAGTTGGGAGTAGCGGGAGGGAGTTGGGGGAGTGGCTTGGGGGCGGTGCGAGGTGGCCGCGGAGGCCGGCGAGCTCGGGATGCCCGAGCCTGCCCCGAGCCTCGGCGGAGCGGAGCTGCTGTGGTCCCCGCTGCGCCCCGCGGAGGAGCGCGCTGCCTCAAGCGCGCCGGGAGCCGCCTGCAGGAGGCCCGGGATGACTTGGCGGGGCTGCGCTCTGGCGCCCTGCCTGCTCCTGTCGCTGCACGGTGAGTACCGGCGCCTGCGCTCGGGGCGGCCCTGCCGGATGCCGGGAGCCCGGCTTCCCCTTAACCGGCCCGGGACCTGGCCCCGCCGTCCCCGCCGCGCTGGTGTCCCCCGCCCAAGTAACCAGAGCTGGTCCCAGCCGCCGCCGTTCTGCGTTTGGGCCACGCGGGATCCTTTAAGATAACGAACTCCCACTGCCTGGTCCAGTTCGAAACACTGTTTGGAATCTTTATCCGTTACTCGGTGGCTCCAGGAAAACTTTGTAGCTCTACCCTAACCTTCAAGAAGATTATGATTTAAAAATAATGGATTAAAGTCATATTGCACCTTTTAAATAGTCACTTCATCATAATCTCTAAGTACATGAACGTTAAAAAATACCTTTAAAAATGCATCGTGTACTCGATTACATCTGAAAGCAAGGATATTTATTTACAGTTCTAGTTACACATCCAAAAGATCTACGTTGCCTCGAAAACACACAGAATGTAACAATATTAGGATAAAAGTAAAGTACCCGTTTCTTTAAACCAGTTTGAAAGCATCACTCAAGTTTAATTGAATTTTTCTTGTATTTTATTTTCTACAGTTATCATATGTAGGCTCCAAGTGTCATTTTGTACAATACCCTTTGTGTGTACACTGTCCTATGGGATCAAGTTTTCTGCCTCATTTAATTAATTGCTGAGGTTTGCTGAAATTTGTCGTGAAGCTTTTTATTTAACAAGCAGGTTCAGTGATTTGAAGCATAGTGGTTAACCCTGTTTTTTTCTGAAGATGTCAGTATGTTCCCGGTCATTTTATGGCCTTACTTGAACAAATAGTGTCTAATAGATCTTGAAGTCACCCAGTTTTAGACAGCTTAAATGGCAGTTAAATTTAGTAGAGCATAAAGCTGTAGAACTTTCTGTGTACCGTCTCTGTGGATGCCCCCTAAGTGTAAGCATCAGTATAGCGTCCCTGAGGATCTATGGATCTATGTTTAGTGACGATATGCAGATAATTAAATCACACCAATATGGACATTTATGCACTTATACTTTCAAATTAATTTTGTTGTGTTACCACTTTGAGCAGGCTGTTTTTTTCTCTGTCCTATACTGTTTTCAAGTGTGAAATAAGTAAATGAATTTTTCATACAATCCTTGAACACAACTGAAATAGAAATGCTACTGTAAGAACAGCTCGATTTATTATTATTATTAATTATTATTATTTTTGGTCTTTTTGAAAAAGATCTACTTTTTCCTTGTATATCTGAGTATATGGGTGCACACACAGGCACCTATATACACACAAACGAGTTTATTATTGTATTGTTTAATTCTTGTTTTCTTTTTATTATAGATTATTACTGCGTATACTGTGTGTGCTTCAAAAGTGTGTTTTCAGAGGACAATTTTTTGTATTTTTTTTCCTTCCACATTTTTTTCTTTTGGTCTTTTTGAAACAGGTTCTTCCTGTAGCCCCAGCTGGCCTGGAACTTGCTATGTAGATCAGGCTGGCCTTGAACTCACAGAGATCTGCCTGCTTCTGCTTCCCAGAGTTCTGGGATTAAAGGCATATGCCACTATGCTTGACTCAGCTTGATTTTTCTTTTCTTTTCTTCTTTTTTTTTTTTTATAGAAAAGTCTATTGTTAAACTTTATACCTTACAATAACGGCTGCTCTCTTTTGGTAAATAGTGCTTGTGTACGAGTTGTGTTTTGAATTTATTAGGCAATTTAAAGAGTTGATTTTGTTCTCACAACCAGCCTTGCAAGGTCATCTGATTTGTGCCTTTGCTTTCGGGAGAGCTGTTCCTAAGTTATGGCAGAATGCTTTTAAAAACTTCCAAGAATATTTCAGTCTCTGTGATAATCTGTTCTGTAGAGACATTTATCACCCTAAAATAAATGTATTCATTTGTTCAACAAATATTCTCAGAGCCATCACTCAGTGCATTTGGGCATCTTGTGGTGTTGGGGTGCCGGGGAGTTAGTGGTGGGATGCAAATATTCAGAAGAGTTTGTCTGCAGCCCTTAAGAGATTTTCATTTTGGAGGCAGGCTACCAGTACATATGAATAATTTATGGTGCAACAAGTAAAGGATGGGTACCATTCGTTAGCAACATCAAGGCATATTTCATGGCATAGTTGACTTTTGCTTTGGACTTTGGATAAAATTCAAATTCTCTGAGATGGGAATGATTGGGCTTTAATAGCTCAAGGATGATCCCAGTGAAGCTTATGAAGGAATGGCACAGGGGCACACTTGAGAGGCAAGCCTCGAGCTGGCAGAGCAGATGGGGCAGAGCAGAAAGGGCTAGAGGCTACTTGGGGGTGGCAGACGGCAGGCCGAGTTGAGTACTGAGTTTGGGCTTTGTCTTGGGAAAGGCCATGGGGCTCAGTTTCCTCATCAGGGGGAGGGAAAGAGAAGGCTGAGAAAGTGCCCTTTTGTGTTAGTGTTCCAATCTCTAGGAGAATGTGGTATCCTGGCTGAGCTCTTGAACCAGGCAGTGACAAAATTGGTTCCACTGAAATTCGTTGTGTCTTTAGAACTTTCACTGTGGAATGACTGGAGGATGTGTATGTATCTGAACAAAGTTGGTCTCATTACAAAGGAGGAAACAGTGCCCAACAGCAGTGGTGGGGAAAATGTTAATTAGAGATCGAAGGGTCTTTTCCATAAACTAAAGAAACAAGGTGCCAAGACATTTCAGTTATTTTTGTTAAATCTCTGTGAAATCAATTCTAAGGGAATTTGAATTGAAAAGTTTCCTTCTGTATAGTTCCACCATTGGGTTAGAAATAACTAAAATGTTTCTTCTGCTGTGATTTCTTGAAATAGCAGGTAAGTTTTAAGGAATTTGACAAACTACACAGAAAAGGAGAGAAGGCCGTATAAAATGAAAGGAAAAGGAGAGAAGCTGAGAATCTTTTCAGTGTTGGCATTTTCAGAAGTTGATTGAAAATGGCAGTTTCTCAGCTTCAAACTTAATGATGTAACTGTTTTGCAAGAATTCACTTTTTAGTAACAATCTGTAATGTGACCCACCTGAAAGATGACAGATACCATCTGGAAATTTAAGAGCAGTTTAGCTTATTCAACATAGACTATTTAGGAAGCAATTTAAACATTAAGTCATCAAGTGCTTTTAAACTGTTGTGCTTAGAATTGTGGGACCCAAGGTAATGATGCAATGGGTGAAGATACTTGTTTTGGCCTTCCCCCCTGGTAACAGTAAGTGGCACATTTTCAAATGTGTTTTCACACTCTGATAGTGGAACATCTATAATGAAACTTCTCATTTGAACCTTCATATTTAAGCCATGTGATTCAGTGTCAAACAAGGTGATGTGCCAGGCACAAGATTCTTTATCTGCAGTGATAGAAGACAAGGATCTGACAGTGCTTGCTGAGTTGGGATAAAGTTGGAAGTTACTGCTTTCTCTTTCAAATTCTCATCCATATGGCCTCTGTGCATGTGTGTAATCCCAGCACTTGGAAGGCTGAGACAGGAGGATTATAAGTTTGAGGCCACCTTGGACTACGTAGAGGTTCTGGTCCAACCTGGGCCACATAAATGGGGCACTGTTTCAACTCCACCATCCTGTCAATCTCCTCTGTCCCCAGTTTATTTAGTATAAGTGTTCTAAGTCTATTGTTGTTTGAACTGATGATCACAATTTATTTCTATGCCATCACTTTTAAATATTTTTGAAGTAGGATTGCTGAATTTCTACTCTAGTTACTGCTATAAGCACAGTCACCTGAATTTCCCCCTTGAGGAGGGGTAGCTGGCACTTACAAGTCTCAGACTTGCATTCTAAGAACAGCTTCCCATTCCCACCATCTGGAGGATGTCAAATCCTCTCCTGAGTATACTTCTGTGAGCAATCAGTTTTAAGAGAGGTTGTCAGTTCTGGATGGTAGTCCAAAGCCATCTGATTTGAATAAAGTAGAAAGTTAGTTTACTTACTGGTTAAGCCTATCTTATTAAACCATGGAAGCATTAGAGAAATTTTGTGTGTGTGTGTGTGTGTGTGTGTGTGTGTGTGTGTGTGTGTTTGGGTAATTGATTTCCTCTGTATCCAATTTCCTGTATCTAAGAGACTGTAGTAGTGGTTCGAGTTTGTTATAGAAATGTGAAGTCGAAGAGGGAATGTTTTCTACTTTGCACATGAACCTTCCCCAGTGTTTGGCCACCAGCTCACCTGCCATTATCACCTGTGTAGATGCTGAGTGGTGCAGCCTAGCTTCACTCCTGTGTATAGGCAGAACCAAATTTTAATAGACCATTTAATTTGTATGTTTGTAGGTTAGGATGAAACCAGGAAAGATTTTCCAGTGTGGACAAAGACTACGTAATAAGCAGTCTTTTTAAAAAAGTGTACTTACTGGTTTATCTTCATTTAGCATTTAACTTGTGTACCTTAAGAGAAAGACACACAGACATTATTAGAGGCATGGTTTTACTGAGAAGAGTAGAGCTTGTGAAGACGTTTAAATCCTAGAAGCACTGAGCTCAGAAAACTTTTGTACCACATACATTTTAAAAATGTTTTAAAAATAATTTATTTATATTTTTATGTGTATGAGTGTATTGCCTGCATGTAGGTAAGTGCACCCAAGTTGTGCAATGCCTGTGGAGGACAGAAGAGGTTGTTGTATCCCCTGGAACTGGAGTTACGGACAGTTGTTAGCTGCCATGTGGGTGCTGGGATTTGATCCTGGGTCTCCTGCAAGAACTACCAGTGTTTTTAACCACTGAGGCATCTCTCCAGCCCCCACAGAGGTTTTTTAAAGAAGAATTTTCAGAAAAGTAGGTTAACATTAGTGGCTTTGACTGGTAGTAGGTCAGGATTTAGGGTAAAGTGCAGCAGGTGTGTGGCATGGGAATGTCAATGCAGTGTGTTCACCGAGGGTAACAGGCAGTAACAACAAGACGACTGTGTGAATGCAACCCTAACATAATGGAGCCACTGCTTGGCAAATCTTAAAAGACTCAATAGTTCAATA